TATCGATCTATCTATCTATCGATCTATCTATCTATCGATCTATCTATCTATCGATCTATCTATCTATCGATCTATCTATCTATCGATCTATCTATCTATCGATCTATCTATCTATCGATCTATCTATCTATCGATCTATCTATCTATCGATCTATCTATCTATCGATCTATCTATCTATCGATCTATCTATCTATCGATCTATCTATCTATCGATCTATCTATCTATCGATCTATCTATCTATCGATCTATCTATCTATCGATCTATCTATCTATCGATCTATCTATCTATCGATCTATCTATCTATCGATCTATCTATCTATCGATCTATCTATCTATCGATCTATCTATCTATCGATCTATCTATCTATCGATCTATCTATCTATCGATCTATCTATCTATCGATCTATCTATCTATCGATCTATCTATCTATCGATCTATCTATCTATCGATCTATCTATCTATCGATCTATCTATCTATCGATCTATCTATCTATCGATCTATCTATCTATCGATCTATCTATCTATCTATCTATCTATCTATCGTTCTATCTATCATTCTGTTTTTCATTATATTTATCCATCATTTTATTTATCCTTCTATCCATCGTTTTATCTATTTTTTCTTCTATCTATTGTTGTATTGTTCTATCTATTATTATATCATTCTGTATATCTGACGTTCTGTCCATCTATTTATCATTCTCTGTCATTTTATTAATGTATTTATCATTCTGTCTAACTGTTGGTTTTGCGAGGCCAGCTTTTATAGTTAATCTTGACAAACTGTGCTTTTAAAAATGAACATAACTGCACTGAATTTCACTTCCTTAAATTAAAATCAGAATTTTTATTCTACATCTTGTTTAATTCAAATACGGGACAAGAAAAGAAATTTAAAAAAAAACTTGATCCGTAGTTGTTAACTAGTTTAACCGGCTTCACTCCATGTGCTGTGCTGGTAAACTAACCAGATTAAACCAGACTGGACCAGCATGTAAACTTGTTTGTGCTCAGATGTGATTATCTTTCTGCGATTGCTTATGTTTTATGAAGCATAACAAAGCTTTCGTTGCGATGCGGTCAGATGAAGCTGAGGTCACACTGCGAGCTCTCACACAGACCCGCTCACGCTGAAGACGTTCATTAGCACCGGCCGCTCGCATTAAATATGTGCATAATTAATTTCGCAAGGGAGTAAACATCCTTTAATTGTCATGGATACAAAGTTTTAATCACCCAGTGTCTCCATTTGTTAGATGTTTTATGTAAATCTAGTCATTAGCCAACTGCTGTTGACCGTTGCTTCGCTTTCCCGAGCAAACGTCTGCTACAATTATCAATCTGTAATTCAGAAACGATTAGCCGAGCCACAAGGCTGTTTGAACTCACTCAAACGGTTCTCCAGCACTCAGCGTGAACCTGACCATTAGAATCCACTCAAAGGCTTGGGTTACACCTCCGTTACAGAGAGCGGCTCTCGTCCCTGCAGCCGAAGATCAGCACAACTCTCTAATTCAGCTCACATTCTCCTAATGGTCACTCAGATAGCGGCCCGAGCAAGAGTGTGTGCTGACCGTCTGACGTCCTCGTCTCCTGCAACTATCAGACGCGTGTCTCCTGAAGAACAGATGCAGCCATCTATCTATCTATCTATCTATCTATCTATCTATCTATCTATCTATCGTTCTATCTATCTATCTATCTATCTATCTATCTATCTATCTATCTATCTATCTATCGTTCTATCTATCGTTCTATCTATCTATCTATCTATCTATCTATCTATCTATCTATCTATCTATCTATCTATCTATCTATCTATCTATCTATCTATCTGTCTGTTTATCTATCTATCGTTCTATCTATCTATCTATCTATCTATCTATCTATCTATCTATCTATCTATCTATTAGGGCTGTCAAAATGACTGAAAAACTAAATTCTAATTTTTTACTTAAATATGATAAAAATTAGAATTATATTCGAATTTAAAATGCATAAGTTAGGGTGAAGAAAAGCTTTTGGCTTCAAGATATTACTAATGCACGTTTATTCAAAGCATAATCTGTGGGGACAAAAAAGTGCATAATGTCTAAAATAATGTTTAGAAATCAATTATTATTAAGTGGCTTAAACAACTATAAACAAAACAGCATCATGTATGTATGCATAGTTTAATACAAAGGGCCGAAAGCCAATCACACGGAGTACATTTTTCATTTAAAAACACGAGTTGCAGTGAGATGGGGAAAAACCCACCACAAAGTTGAACTTACATTAATTTTACATTTCTAAACATGCGGCTCTCTTGTGCGAGATGCGGGTGCATAGATGATAGATGTCCCTCTAGAAAATGCGATAAATATGTGTTCTGTGTGAACGGCTTGGTTTCAGTTTTGACGTAAACAACATCTTCTCTGCATTGATGTTCTATTTTCCCACAATATTTGTAATTAACAACGCAGCAGCGCCGCATCTAGTGGCTTCAACTGGATAAGCGAACAAAAACATGAGGCTTGTTTGAGATGCGCCTCGCGTGAAATGTAGGCGAGAGGTGGCTGCAGTGAGGGGAGGAGTGAAATCGTTCTCTCTATCTATCGTTCTGTCTTTCTATCATTCTGTCTATCGCTCTGTCGTTCTCTCTATCCATCTAGAATGATTATTGTAGTGCTGAATGCTAGAAAAAGTGTGAGGAAAAGTTCCAGTGAATTTCTAATCCACAGAAATTAAGATGAACGATCTTTCAGCACATGAAAGGTTAAATATAGAGGGAAAGCCCTAGATGTGCAGTGCGATCGGTGTCGTGTTTCAGAAAGCAGGTATTCGTTCTGATTACTAATGCGATCAGTTCATCCCCAGTGAAAACAGGCGGCAGCGGCGTCGAAATGATCATGTTCAGTGAGACACATTATCCTGCTGAACGCGGTGAGACGAGTTTGAGCCAAGGCTGGTGTTGAGAAACACGTTCTGATGTTCATTAAACACCGCCACTGTCAGGAACTAATTTTGTCATTAATACAGTACAACCCTTGGTCTTCTTTTTTTCCTTGTCCTTTTCCTTCCAATCTCTGTAAAACTGATGTTTAGCACTCACTCTAATCACAGGAGTTCACAGTCAAGGACACGCAACTCAGTGGCATTGCTAAGTTGAGGATTTTTAATCAGTATACACTTGGAGAAGCTGGAGTTTTCATCCCAGGACTCCAGACTGCGACCATTTTTTCTGCTTGTGCGACTAAATTTTGTGCGCGTTCGCACTGGCGTGACCACCGCGTTGTTTAACTCGTAAGCGCTGCCATTTCTGTTGCATATGAGAAACATCAAACGGCAAACGAAGAAACCGCACAACTCGTCGTGATACATTTGATTTTTCAGGATTCACAGATGAACAGAAAGTTCAAAAGAACAGCATTTATTTGAAATGGAAATCTTTTGGAACATTATAAATGACTTTACTCTCACTTTTGATCAATTTAATGCATCCTTGATGAATAAAAGTATTGATTTCTTTAAAAAAATCTTACAGACCCCAAGCTTTTGAACAGTAGTGTATTGCAAACAATAAATTACATGCACACCACATCTGCATATTGCCTACTGTTCTTTTTTATTAATATGTGAAACAGTAAGCTTTTATCTACTGATAAACATAGCAAAAACTAGCGTGTTGCATGTTAAGTGATCAACTCAGAAGTCTTGGTTTTCCTAGAAATGGCTCAGTCGTCTGCGTCTGCATAATTCTCTGATGTCGTTGAGAGATTCATTCATTATGAAGAGATCAGAGCCGGAAATGCACTGAGATGATGAAGCGACTGGAAACTCTTCCGATGTTTCTCTCACTGCGTATTATATCATCAGATGGCTGAGAAACGCAGAGATGCAATGCTTTAGCGACGTCGCCCAGCCCTAAACTCCAGCATTATCATTATCAAGCTTCCTATCTACATGGCTTGTTTGGTTTTGGATTTCCTCTTTACTTGGTTTTCTGTAATCAGGGAGTGTTTTCCCAGTGGATTCTGAAATATGAAGGATTGTTTCTCAGCTGTAGATGTTTTAGCCCTTTTGCTGGAGTCTCTGTCATTTATTTTGCAGTAACGCTCCTGACAGCCGCGCTCTGTAACGCCGTCGGCAAACTCTGCGATGACAAACCGCACACGCTCAGTGCTGCATTACATTACAGCTCAGTGTGTTCATTTAAATCATGCAACTCTGTTTGTTTCAGACTGTAAAGAGCCCAGATATTTATTTATTTATTTCTAAAAAGGAAGCATGTGGTGTGAAAATGATCTGAAAGTGAAGTTTAATTAATTTTATTTTTCTTTATTTTTCCAATTTTTTCTTTATGTTTCTTTTTTTGTATTTTTCTTATATATTTTTGTATTTTTTTAGTCATTCTTATTTGTGTTTTTCTAATTTTTATTTATTTTATATATATATTTTTAAAATAAATTATTATTTTATTTGTCTTTTTTATTCATAATATTATTCTTCACTCTCATGCTTATGTATTTTTCAAATTATTATATTTTATAATTTATTTTTCTAATATTTTCTTTATTTTTTATTTTTCTGATTATTTATTCAAATGTATTTATTAATATTCATTAATTCTTATTTTGTTCATTTTTATGTATTTATACATTTTTATTTATTATTTATTCATTATATATTTTATATAATTTTTATATAATTATAACACACACACACACACACACACACATATATATATATAATTTTAATTGATTTATTATTGTATATCTTATTTTTATATTCTTTCTATTTTTTTTATTTTGATCTTTTCTATTTGTAAAGTCTTTGTGCATCCTTTTTTTGTGTTTTTTCTCCAGTATTCAGAGGCTTTTATTCTGTGCCACACGTGACTCGGAGCATCAGATGCGTTCGTCTCCTCGTGTCTGCGCTTCTGTATGCATCATGAATGCTGTCTAGCGCATCCGAGTGCATCCCACCCCTTCTGCAGTGAAATAGTCCATCAGATGCGTTTCGCACCTGAAAGCGACGTCTGGCACATGAAAGCCGATCCACGGCAGATGGGCGAGTTTGCTTTCAAAGCAGCTCCTGATGCGTTTGTGACGGCAGAATTCAGATGGAGAGAGAGAGTCAGATATTGACGTCAGTATTAAACACCATTAGTGTCTGTAGCTTTAGCTGTTTAGCAGTAAATCAGGCCGGTTCCTAGTAAACAATCAGGTGAATGTCTGTCTAGGGAGGCTGTTAATCGCTCTTCTCTCGTCTGGAATAAGCACTTCATCAGTGTTGTTTGATATGGATAAATCACAGACGGGTTATTTCATACGTGTGAATGTTAACAGACACAGAAATAAGAACTGGCTAATATATCCAGATCTAATAAGATGGATTCTGTGTAATTGCGAGCAGCTCTAATGAAGAAACCGCTGCTAGGTTTGTGGATTAAAGACTCTCGAGTCAAAGCTAATGATGCTTTTTCTTTTGATTATTTGCCCATGAGAGCTTGAGGAAACTCAGCGTGCTCAGATGATGTTGCTTTAATGTTGTAATATCAGGATTAGTTTACTGGCTAATTGCCGCCACGACAAGTTTTAAAACTTCACCTTTAATTACGCAATTGTAGTATCTTAGTATCCCAGAATCTTAGGGCCTGTCAGTAATTAGATTTTCTAATGAAAGTGTGAGTGGCACTTACTTGCTGCAGTGATTAAAGTTAGGACTTTAAGTCATTTCTTTGTGTCTGAAGTCACAAAAGTCCTGCAACCTCAAAGTCTCTGTGATCTTCTCGTCTCCAGATAGGATGTGTTTCCCTCCTTCAGTGTCTCTCGAGCATCCGGTTCTGTGTGTTTGCTAGTTTGTTTGTTTATTTTATAATTTATATATTTGTAAAATTTTTGTTCATTTATTTTTTTCTATTTTTAAATAAAAAAAAATGTTTTCACATTTTTTATTGATCTAATTTAGATTTATTATATTTTAACATTTTATTTATTTATAATTTAATGATTAAAAAAAACTTTTTGTATATTTAAAAATTTATTTTTAATGTAATGTATTTCTTTTTTTATTAATTTGTATTATATGATTTATTATATTTTGATAATTATATTTATTTATTAAGTTTATTATTTTTAATAATTTTGTGGTATTTTTTTATTTATTTATTTAGTCACTTATAAGTTTTATTTATTTAAAAATTTAGTATTTACTTTTTATAGTTTATTTTTTTTACATTTATTTTTCTATTTATTTTTTTAATTTATATGTTTTTATGATTTTTTTAAATTCATGAATTGATATCTTATTAATTCATTCAAACTGTTTGTAAAAATTCAAACAGTCACTAAAACTTGCATATTAAGAACTTCTGTTTCTGTAAATTCAGTTATTTCGTCTTCATCAACCCTTCATCATGCAATTCGGTGTTTATAGGGACGTCGTGCTGGGAATTACACCTGAAATGAGAAAACATCTGTGGGTTTACGTGACAAGCATCATTATGTATTATTATTATTATCATGATGGAAATGATCCTGACACGAGTTTGTGAGCGAACGAACAACCAGGATGATTGAGACTCAATTAGAGCTCATTGTGTCTCGAGAGTCTAGAACAATAAACACTCACGGACATTTACATCTCACTCATGATTGACAGCAGAGGAGGCGGAGTCTGTCTGCAGTCTGATTGACAGCAGAGGAGGCGGAGTCTGTCTGCAGTCTGATTGACAGCAGAGGAGGCGGAGTCTGTCTGCAGTATGATTGACAGCAGAGGAGGCGGAGTCTGTCTGCAGTCTGAGAACACAAAGAGACAAAGAGCCGAACGCGGGTCTGTGACGTTCTGACGGTTTCATGCAGAAGCGATGAGTTCAGAGACGGTAACGGTGGCTCCGTTCTGCTCCGAAGCCCCTGTTTCTGTTCACTTTGAAAAATGTCACTTACGTGTTCATGTCTCAAATGCTGGCCTGTCAGGACGGGAAGAAAAACACAGAGAAGCGACATTTAGCTCGACCGGCTCTGCACGGCGTTTCACTTCACAGTTTCTGTTTAATGGGAGCTTCAATCTGAAGAGTTCTCTGACTCTTTATCACAGAAAACTGTGTTTTATTGTAGCGTAAAAAGTGCATGCATTAAAATAAATAAATAAAATAAATGAATAAAAACATATTCAATACCTCAGTGAAACCAGGATGGTCAACTACAAAAACAACAACAACAACCTAAATGAAAAAAAAAAAAAATACAGTATATATATATATATATTTTTTTTTCTTTTATAAGTTGAAGATCTTTTTCCAAAGAAATGACTACTTTTATTCATCAAAGTGACAGTAAATACATTTCTGAAGATCATGTGACACTGAAGACTGGAGGAATGATGCTGAAAATACAGCTGCGCATCACAGAAATACATTACAGTTTAATAGATATTCACATAGAAAACAGCTGTTTTACATTCTAATAATATTTCACAATATTTACTGTATTTATTTTTGATCAAATAAATGCTTCTTTCAGAAACATCACAATTATTCCAAACTTTTGAACAGTATATGGATGTATATGTGTATTTCTTATACTTTCAAAAGTATCTTGATTCCTTGGTTGAATCATTTGTTTAACTAAATTCTTGCCACAAGTGTGTGCGCGTTTTTGTGACAAATGAGGACATAAATGTGTATAATGACAAAGGTATGACAGGTATTACAAGGAGAAGGTGACTTTTCAGGACATTACCCCATGTCCCCACTTTTCAAAACGCTTATAAATCACACAGAATGGAGTGTATTGAAAATCTGAAATAGCAGAAAGTCTCCTGTGAGGGGTAGGTTTAGGGGTAGGGTTGGTGTAGGGCAATAGAATATACGGTCTGTACAGTATAAACACCATTACGCCTATGGGATCCTAACATCGCAGGGAGTGTGAACAGCATGAAACTTCTGTGAAGAAAACCAGCAGACTGTCTTGTGGATTTGAACAAATGTGGACATACTTTCACTGCAAACGAGGATTTTTATCTTGTTTTTGTGTTTAAAAAAGGCGAAGATGCTTAAAATGAGATTTACGTAAAACTGAATCGTGCATGATGATTTTTCTTCCCGCACTGTCAAAGGTTTCTGTTTGATTGTTGTTGTTTTTCAGCATCAAATTCGCTAAAATTTGTTACATTTATTCTTAAAACAACATCAACTATTTGTCAGGAAAAATAAACCGTGTCTCTGAAAAAAAAACTTTTCTTATGCAGTTTTGCTTCTCAAGTAAATGCATCTTGTTTTAAGTCAGAAATATTCCTTGTGTAAAGCGACAGAAATCCAGTGTCACACACACACACACACACACACACACACAGACACAGACACAGACACACACACACACACACACACACTCACACACACAGACACACACACACACACACACACACACAGAGACTAGATGCTTTCTGAAGTATGTTCAGAATTCCCAAAGCGAGACACGTTTGACCTGAGAGAGAAAACTGAAGGTGGCCAGTTTGACGGAAGCACATTTGCTTGCTGATTCACACCAATGAAAAATGGATGAGCGTAAGGCCAGATAGAAGGAGCGGAGAGAGTGAGCGTGACCTCTGTCCCATCACACCCTTCTCCTTATTCTCCCACAGACCTTATTTAGAAAATCCACTCAAACCTGTTCTCCACAGGGCCCCTGCACTCCCAACGCCTCAATCAGGATAATAAAGGCCGTGCTGAGGTGCTATCAGTGTGGATGTGTTTGCTGATGGTTTCTTAGAGACAGCTGGTGTCTGGTGTTGATAAAGGCTGCAGGGTTTGCGGTTACAGCTGCATCGAAGCGAGCGCTTATCCGGGAAGAGTCCGGTAATCTTTCACACCAATCGCAATAAGTGAGTCGCTGCTGCGGCTGCGGATCGGTGTCGGGCTGCAAACCTGATTACTGAAGAAACGCTGTGTTTTCAGGAGCATTACTGCTGCGGTGCATTTGCTCTTCAGCCTGTGATGAAGACGTTTGAGTTGCATTCAGTACATTTTACTCTGAGATCAGCTTTAAAAAAAGGAAATGAAATACTTGCCTAAAAACAAATCAAATCGTAATATAAAATTAAAATAAATCATTTTAAGTATAACAAATCTAAATAAATACTTACTAAAAACAAATAAAATTATAATATAAATTAAAATAATTATTTTAAGTATAACAAATCTAAATAAATACTTACTAAAAACAAATAAAATTATAATATAAATTAAAATAAATTATTTTAAATATAACAAATCTAAATAAATACTTACTAAAAACAAATAAAATCATAATATAAATAAAAATAAATAATTTTAAAATAAAACTGTTTATGCCACACAAATACTCTTATAAAGTAAAAACTGCCTCTCTTACTGTGTGTGATCTCTCTCTCTCTCTCTCTCTCTCTCTCTCTCTCT